GCAGCTGGCGACGACCCCGCGGGTCCATCTTTCATCATTGAGATTCCCCCGCATTTGACGGTCCACCCGATATTTCACGCTTCAAAGCTGGCGGTCTACACTCCAGCCTCTGCAGCGGACTTCCCGGGCAGACGGTCACAGGACCCTCCGTCAATGGATGATCATCAGGAGGTCGACCGCGTTCTCACGCATCGCAAGCATGGCAACAAGCCTATGCAGTACAAAGTTACATTTAAGCAATGCGATTCGAACTACATACGCTGGATTTCAAGAGTTGACCTGAAGGCGACAACACCCCTCATCTTCGCGCATTACGAAAAACAGCCACATGCTAAGGAAGCTGCCCAACTTGTCCGCCGTGTACGAACATCGGACAACTTGAAACAGCTTCACCCTTGCAGTTAGCTCGGTCTTCAAGGGGGGGAGTGTGTGGCATTCTGAGCTACATGGGCAGTTAGGGCCCGGTTCCAGACATGCAGGGTAGGCCTAAGGGACGACCGTCACGGTTCAGATGAAGCCCAGATGGGCGTGGACCACAGCGGTTCAGGCAAGCCTAGGGTAGAGGCCCAGGCCAAACGGCCACAAGGTCGGTACTGGTCCAGCATAGGACCTACCGGCGGCGCTGCAGAGGCTGCCAAATTTAGGCGCCAAGTCCACTTCAAAACTGGACCGTTGATTCAGATCAAAAGTCCAGGCCGGTAGGTACTAGCAGGTAGGAGGCCGGACCAGCACTACAAAAGGCTGGGTACCAGCCTAAGCGGTAGGTTAGAAGCTAGAGGTTAGTAGCGTTAGCGTTAGTCTTCAAGATTAGCGCAACGTTGTAGCAGCATTAGCGCAGCACCAGCAATTTCAGTCGGAGACAGCGAACGCCGAAGCACGGAGCAACAGCGCAGTGGCCCTGCCGTGCCATAGCTAGCGGTTCTGGTACAAGGGAGGAAGGCTTGCCTTCCCTCCCTCTGTTTCTTTGGCCCCGCTCTCTCTCTCTCCCTCTCTCTCTCTCTCTCTCCTCCTACCTTCTTAGTCTTAGTCTACTTCTGGGTTCTCCTACGGGACTACTGCAGTATGAAGGATGGTTACGAATTCTGATAACATGGGGAATAGCGACATTGGGACTACGAGGGGAGGAATACTTAGGGATCTGATTTCATCTTCCTTCTGAAGATGTACTCGACATTGTGAGATCCATATCTGAGATATTGTGAGACTTGACATTCGCGACATTTCGGATTTTCGTCACTTCTGACATCTCAAGATACTATCTTTGGAAACATTGAGTTGATGTCTCTTCCCTCTCCTCCTTTCGTCTCTCTCCTCTCTCCTCTCTCCCTTCGTCCGTGGATGATCTCAGTCCCTGGCCCTTCGTCTATGTCTGAGGCCAGGGCCTTCACACCCCTCATGAATGTTTGAGAGTATTCGATTGCAGTCCGAGTCAGGTCCGAGTCAGTCCGTGGTATCTCAAGTCTTCTGCTTGCATTTGTATTAACTCTATATTATCTGGTCGGTTCTCGGAATCTGCACCATACTTATGATTGTGTTTCACGAGTACACAACAACACTACATTGAGGTAGAATGGTGGGGATACGGTGTGCGCTGGGAGTATGGACGAGAGGATGGGATGGGAAGGTGGTGTGCTGATAAGAGCAGTCACACCTAACACCGTCGATGAGGCTCCATCTATTGGTGGAGAGCAGCACCTGCTGGAAACCGGATCCAGCGTCCAATTGAATACATCTTTTAGCACAGTGATATGACCATCACAGTTCATGCTCCAGAGCTTCCTCTCTCCCTCGGGGTTGCCTATATTTACCCTTTTGATTTATAGAGCTCCTACTTCCCTCTGGCCTAGCCTTACCAGAACATGATATCTACATTTCTACTGCTGGTAGTGATTGCACTCCCATCCTCGGTGTCTGCAGCCCCCCCGTGTTTGCGTTCATCAACCCCCATTATTCGCAATCACAACGCCCATTATTGACAATCACGACGCCCATTCCTTAGAACCATTTACATTTTCAGAGTTCAAACCCCAACGTCCCATGTCATGAACCATGCACCCTCGGCAAGAGGGGGGCAGAAAGATAGCCCAACATCGATTGTCCTCACTGTGTACATAGTCCAAAGGCTTGCCATTGCTGGCCYATTGCCGCAAGGCAAGAATTGTTGCTCCTGTGCTGGTATCTTCGCAAGTCATGATYAATGCATCCTSGGCAACAGGGAGGCAGTAAGATAGCCYAGCATCGCTTGTCTTCACTGTGTACATAGTCCAAGGGCCTGCTCTTCCTGGCCCATTGCAGCAGGGCGAGATTTGTTGCTCTAGTGCTGGTGTCTTCGCTGTTGTCCTCACCTGTTGTTCCGTCCCTCCAGCAGTCATATTTTGTCATCTGTTATTCTCAATGTGTACATAGTCCATAGGCCTGCTCCACATGAACCATTGCAGCAGGTCTTGAGTTGTTGCTCCAGTGGCTGTGTCTTTATTGTTGTTTTCGTCGCCCAGCCGTACTTATCCTCACTATGCCACCAATCAGCCTGATCGTCCTGGCCCATTGCAACAGGTCATGAGATCTCGCTCTAGTGACTGTGTCACTACTGTTGTCATCGCTTGTAGTTTAGTCAATCCAGTAGTCACATTTTTTATCATCTTGTTAATGAAGCCGATCACGATCCTCCTAGCTGCAGGTCACGTGGTCAGGAGGGCGGGGACGGGCGGTGGGCCGGGTAGGTCGGTGGGGGTTGTGGTCTGAGTGCGTGCAACGGGCATGACCAAGCTGGCTGGAGGGGCAGGGGTTGGTTGGGCAGGCTGCACTGAGTTTGGAAGAAGGATGAAGTTGGGTTGGAGGTACGGAACTTGGAAGTCGGTAAAGGGCCTTCTCTGCCAACCAGGTTTGTTCGACCTCCATGGTTTCCATGATATATGAAGCTCTTTGTCAATTTCCGAGAAAAACCTGTTGGGGTCCTGCCAAGTCTGCATGTAGCAGTCTTGAATGAGTTCCTTGGCGGTGCGGTCTTTCTCCTCATGGAAGTCACTCTTCATGGACTTCCATGCTTCCTGGGTTTTGGTCCTGATCAGTTCTTCGATCGCTTGTTGCCCCTGCAGCAGGCCAAATTGGTGGTCCTTTCTTTCGAAGGAGCACCTGGCTCTCCAAGCAAGCATGAGGAGGTGCAGCCTCGTGTACGAAAACAAATTGGTCGCAAACGGGGACCAATGGGCCAGCAGATGACGGTTCTCTCTGAGCAGCAGGAGGCCAAGGTCCCATGGTATATTATATCCCGTGAGGGAGTGAAAGGCCACATCCCATTGCCACAATTGGGTGACCATTGGGCATGCCAGAAGACAATGTTCCAGGGTTGCCCTAGTCGGTGATCGAGATCTGCCACAATAAGCGCAGATGGGGGACAATTTCCCTTTTTGTTCCAGGTCATTCCTAGAGACGATCCAATCGGGAGTGGGGAGGCAGCGGTGGAGGATCTGCCACTGCAGAGCTCTGTGACTTGTGGGCATGATCCTCGCATATCTGGACCATTCAAAAGACTCTGGCAATTTGGGATCCAGTGGCGAGTCTCGAGCCCATCTGCTTGCTACCGTTTGGCTAATCGG